AGAGAGGACAAAGAAAGAATAAATGAATGAAAGAAATGAAACAAGCAAGAAAGAAAGAAAAAAGAAAAAAAGATGGATTGTAGAAAAAAAACAAAGACAATGACACTAATCATCGAGACCAAGAGGAAAGGAAATAAATACAGAAGAATTAAAATATAAAAGTAAAAGAAAGAACAAAGAAAGAGTAAAAAAAATCAGGAAATTAACAAAAAGCAAAGAGCAAAATTACAAAGACCATGTACCGATTTTAGGCACTGAGAAAGAAAACGTAGACGGGAATAAAAAAAAAAAAAACTACAGGAACAGAAAAATTAACAGAAAGTTGAATCGAAACAGTAGGTGGTTTGGAAATGAGACAACAATTAGTTTTTATCGTTGTAATAAATAAATATTTTGGTGGGTCAGAGGATTTCATAAAAGAAGGAAGGAAACCAGTCGTAAGTTACGAAAAGGAAACAATTGAAAAATGTGCCAAATATAGTCAATGAATTTCTATGCTTGCCAGGTAGGCCCACAGAATTTCAGCGCTTTCAACAAATGCAAATAGGGAAAAGATTGCAGAATCTAATGAAAGTCTTTTACAGTATGAATTAAAACAAACAAATTACATACTTCCCTCTGTCTTTTCTACAAATATTTTCATGGCATCTACCCTGACAATCTACTTTCACTGGTACCCCCAACTGCATGAATTTAAGCGTGCTACTAGATTGGCATCTTGGTCCCTCCCTTTTACTGTCGAATCAGTTAAATGTAACCGCCTCTTCTAATCCAACAGCTTCTTATCTCGCACTTCCAGCCAGTAAAACTCCCTTCCTCTTACTTGCGACCCTGTTAGCTATAATCTTCAAATATTCAAATGTAATGTTAATCGACATCTTCTGATGCCTTGATCTTGATCCACATCCTTCTCTTTATTCTTTTCCCAAACACTCCTTTTTAACCTTACTCACAGTCTCTGTAACCCTTTGCATGCTAGTTGCACTCACGCCTTGCTTGGAATGAAATGTTTAAAAAAGCAATAAATAAATAAATAAACAAAAAACATCAGGCTGTTGGTCAGGTAATATTTTAAGCACATATTATTTAATATTTTTTTTAAAAAAAGATGTATTAGAAAAATGAATTACTTCTTTTGCTTACGAGGGCGTTATAAAAAAAAATTCATTGACTGACTATGAAGGAGTAATGCTGCAGCAAGCATTAATTTCAACTTGTTTTATTAATAATTGCGTTATTTCCCTTCAAATAAACTCATGGCTGAGTGTTCCAGACTTAAAAAGTAACTAATAGTAATTTCTCTTGAAAATGGACAAAATGTGGCATCGCGGTGTTATCAAGTACCCGGAGAAAAAGAGTAGAGCCAGCCTCAAAGATATTCATACTGACATGGTTGCTACATTAGGTAATGAAGTTCAATCTTAATTTTTATAGTGGAACAACCGAACATACCCCAACTGTGATTGGTCAGTCGAGAAGAGACGTGATTGGGAGAATAAAAGACGTGATGAACTATTGTAGTAGAAGCCTATGAAGGACGACTACAATCTCCATGACGTATCTCCCGTTTTACTGATTGTTATATTGACAAACTCTTACTCATTGTACTTTCCGTAAAATAAAACCATGCTATTGTTTTACCTAATTCCTGTGTTAGTGTAATCTTTCCACTCGGGATTACCTGGTTGCTTATATCGTATTATCCACGATATAACATTAATGAACGCTGTAAAAGAAGAAGTTGAATTTGGGACGGAAACGGATGGTCTTCAACATGGACAAAGGTCTAGATGATTTGCGGCAGGAACACCGATGAAAACATTGATCGTGTTCCTCACCTGGTAGGGGATGACAGGCTCTTGACTATAAATCAAATAGCCAAGTCTGTTAACATATTCTCTGAGAGAGTTGAGTATATTCTGCACAGTGAACGTTGCATAACGAAGGTTTCTGCTTGGTGGGAACAAAGTCTTCTGGAACCTGACCACAAGCGCACCGAGTTGATCACAACACGGGAAAATCTGACAGTGTTTGAAGCAGATTCAGCTGAGTTCCCTGAACGTTTCTAGATTCAGTATGTGTGTCGCGTGCATCATTTTACGACAAAGCCAAAAAGACAATCGATGCAGTGTTAACATCTCTCTTCACCTGCTCTAAAGAAATCAAATGTCTCTTCACAGCAAACAGCATTGTGTTTAGTATCTGTCAATATTTTTGAGATGAATTATTATGTACACTACAACAGAAAAATCAAAAGAATGCTTTGTTTCATGCCAGAACAGGCCCGATAATATTGCAGACTCTTCTTCAAACAAAGATAAAAAAATGATGCATTTGACGAGGGAATATAATTTCGTCTATATTATTTAGGGCATAGTTTGAAAGTGTTTTCCAGATATCTGTCTATATTTCTGAGATGAGGTATTATGTACACTATTTACATTATTCGGACTATTTTCATCATCTCTATTGTCATATTTATCACAACGTTTCGGACTCTTTATTTCGCTCGCTGGTGTAGACCGTTCTAATTCCACGTGCCAGGTCTAATATTCTGTGCCATCCTTAAGGGGACATGGCGCAGTGGATAAATACGTTGGTTAGATCCAGTGAGAGGACTCAAAGAGTTGCGAGGTCAATACCTGGTTAAGGCACTGGAGAACGTGCAGAGGGTAATTAACAGGAGATAACTGATAAATGACCTCCATTAGACATGGCACTTGGAACTAGAACAGTCTACCACAGCGAGCGAAATAAAAGGTTCAGTTCGACATTCCAACCACCTGAAGAAGGCCGAAGCATACAACGTCCGAAACGTTGTGATAAATATGGCAACAAAGATGAGGACAATAGTCCGAAAAATATAAATAGTGAGCATTGTGTTTATTGAGTATCTTTAAAAGGGTCACATCACCTTCATATTACCAGGGGTACATCCTTTAGGTTTGGAAATAAAGCCCATGTAGACGGCTCCTGTAAGAACATATGGATAGTCACCTACAATTCCAGTCCACACTGGATCGATTGCGTGTAGACTGTATTGTACCATGGGGATTCCATCCGCCCACAAATGTTGTTTTTTTTAAATTTGTTATTTCATCTCAAATGTTTCCTCATATGTAAACAAGATTGAAGAGACCTTTGTGCATCAAACCATCGGCAATAGTTCCCACGTGGTGAGTGACCAGAGGGCGAAAGACACTGTTGTAAATTATAGATACAGGAGCTTCTCTTAAATTGCTCCCATGTGGTACAATGAGATGTACGACATGCTAGTCTGTAGAATGTGTTCTAGGTCTTCCTTGATCCATAGTTTAAGGTAGCACTGATCCTGTCTCAACAACGTGACGATTAAACAGTAGTAAAATTTGGATGACTCGACTACCTTCGGTCTGAAAACGCAGTCTAATACAGCCATGCAGCCTCACATCCATTACAATTCGCGCGGCCGTATGTAAAATTCATAACTATATGAATATCCTGCCATTGTTAAAGCAGAACACTACTCAGTTAACTGACTACACACGTTATACGCTGAAGACAGAATAGTCACAAATGTACACGAAAGAGAAATGTAACCTAGTCTACGTGGCAAACACAGCACAATTTACCGTAAACTTTCTTTAAACTTTTAAATTTTGGGCTTGTTTTGGTGTGGGAACACATTGAAAGTTTACAAAAAGTATTTTGATCCATTCCGTATATATATATATATATATATATATATATATATATATATATATATATATATATATGCTATAAAATGACAACTGGAAAAAATCTTAGATTTTGCCGACGCGTTTCGTCTTCCGACTTTTTCAAGGCAAAATGAAATCGAAATGTTTTTTGTTGTTATAGTTACATTTAAAAATCCAAATTTAAAAATTTTACATTTGGATTTTTTAATGTAACTGTAACAACATGAAAAATGTCGGAAGACCAAACGCGTCGGGAAAATCTAAGATTTTTTTTTCCAATTGTCATTTTATACCAATCTGTCTTGTCCACAGAATTGATCTGGGAATTTAACTATATATATATATATATATATATATATATATATATATATATATTAACATTGGCAACTACATATAGATTATGTTTTAACAATATTGTATGAAATATTTTCCCATAGAAATCACATTTGAAAAAGAAAATGTTTGATTGTGGAAAAGTACAAATTGCGTTGGCCAGGGATTTCATGTATTTTCATTTTAAATCAAGAAAAGTAATTCTTAATCTGCTGCATTGAAACACTTTAGACGAAAGGAAGAAAATATGTGATCCTTTTCAGATCAAGGCACCACTTACTTCCTGCTGCTGTTAGACTGCTATTAGATTATGGGCGGCTATTAGCCAATCATCCGTGTAAGGAATTAACTTCATTACACCGATAATAGTACAGTTTGAATTAACTAAACATTTATACAAATATTTCAAGGCATATTTTGTCTATGGTAAATTAATACTTTTCAAGCAACAAAACTGCGTTCTAGTTTATGACCACAATTTGGCCAAATGCAATGAAAGATTTTTATTTGTTATAAAGAATTGAAATAGAAAAAAGAAAACATCCTTTTCACGAACTATTCGAATAAATATGTCCGTTGTTGTTATGTAGATTATTACGTTTCGACTTTTAGGCATGTTCTGAATTTGCCACTCCTCCTAGGGGTAAAAAGTGGGACTCTGACAAGAGCGGCGGCATAGGGAATGCAGCTTCGCTTTGAGCGTTTACAATGCTGCTAAATAATCAGTGCTTGATAAAATAAAATGTCGACCTTTGTTCGCGAGAAAAGGACACGCAGGAAGTTGAAAATTAGAAGTTTCGGATTAATGACAAAATAATTTAGAAAATTCTAGCAGTCTGCGACTAAAGAGGGAGATTCGTTTTCAAACATTTGTAGATAAGAAGGAATAATTTTTTTTTCCCCGAAACGCTAATATTTCTCTCCTCTTCTGAACGAAAATATGCTCAGTTTTCATTATACGTACCGCGTACGACCATAACGTTGAAACACCGGTTCCAGTACAATCATCGAAGTTAAGCAGCAACGGGCCTGGTCAGTACCTAGATGGGTGACCGTTTGTTAATACTAGTGTTGCAGACCCGGTTGCATCGTCTTAGTGAAGTTACTTATGGCGAGTCAAGAGAAACGAAGAATGTGGACGTCTAGCCAAAATGACGAAGAATATTTGTTCGTCAGTAAGATATCCCTGTCTGTATTTAAGGTTGACTGACGAGGGATAAAAATAAGTCACTTGTTGAATACGAAGTTCTGCTTACGACTGTGTCGTGTGTCTCGCATGTTTTCTAGCAGAAAACGGAGAAGGTCTGACCTGCGGGTAGCTTCAAGACGAGAAGAAGCCTTGGTAAAGTGTGAGGTCGACATTGTTGAGATAAGATATTCCGGCCCGCATATGGGTTAAGGGCACGGAATAAATGAGTTGCTCGTCTAGTTAGGTCGAAAGTCGGGAAACAACTGGCTTGCAAACGCTGTTCGTTTGAGATGCCGGGAAACGCGCGGGAAAAAATTCAAAATCTGTTAGGCTAACTTCATCAGCAGGAGCTATAGCGACCTTCGTCACTAGTTAAAGGATGTTTACTGCTACGTCTAGCTGTAAGAGAGAGGAAGGGGTGCAAACGCGCGCACACACGCACGAGTGTGAAAGGAAGGGAGGAAAACTCGCGCGCGCGTAAAATGTAGATGGAATTAATGTATTAATTCCATACTAGGTGGTGTAAGCATGGATGTGCAGCTGGTGTAATTGATAATGGATTTTAATCGGAGAGCCGAGTTCCAATTCCAGTTGGGTTCGTTATCTTCACTTACGCGCAAATACCCTTGGGATAATCATAAATGCGCCACTTACCCCCGACTTATCGGTTAATTCGTAAAACTTGTATAAAGAGATCTTTATTATCTTCTCCCCCCCCAATTCTTGCAATCTAAAATATTTTCTGACTTAAATAACCTTCAAAGTGTTGATAAACCGTAAAAAACGAATCAATCATTATACATCCGGCTCTTTCTTGCTCTCTATCGCTTTCTTTCACAGAAACACACGCGTGCGTGAGTGCAGTAAATTTCTAATTTTTATGATGCGTATTCGTCGTCGAAACATGTTACGGTAGATGTTTTCAGTCTTATATTCTATTCAGTCGAGTGTCTTTCAACTTACCACTCTTTCTCACACACACGCACTCAGACACACAAACAAACAAAAATATGTAATATATATTACTTAGAACATACAATGTTGGTGGTGGAAGTGCGCTAAAATAGTGGAGATAGATCGTTTGTATATATAAACAGTGTAGACATAGAAAGCAACTTCATGTTCTAAATATCGCTTGAGATGTTGCACTGACAGTCGCCATGCTGATTCGCATGTCCATATTGCACATATCTGTGTGTTTGTGTCAGAGTGTGTGTGAAGCACATCCCCTAGAATTAGAAAATACATTCCTTGTTAATTAATATAACATTTGCTTTTATTCATTCATTCATTCTCTCTTTCTCCTTTGTCACATAGAGGAAAGATGTAAATCTGTGTCACACTTTCAGTCTTTTGTTTGATTTTTAATATATTTCTGTAGAGCCACATTTCTGTTTTTCATCTGTAAGGATATTGTCCAGCTTCCATTTTCATACAGGAGGACTAATATTTGTTGGGCAATGTCGTCTGGATTGTCAGATTTAAAGATCCATATCTATGTAGTAAAGACATATGGAAAAACACCAGCTGCAAATACTCAGTCACGTTTGTCTAACTTGTAAATTTCTCATCACCACAAGACTATACAACCTTCCATATCTGACGCTTTGTGCCTTCTCGGGCTAAAGATTTCCACTGACATGAAGTTTCAATGTGAGGTCCACTGAATCGTGCTAGAATTTATCTTAAATATCTATAAGTCAACCATTGCTCCATACCTCGAATACTGCTGTCACATATGGTCAGGTACTCCTGCTATATATTTAGAAATCTTTGATAAAATTCAAAGAATCTGCAATGTAAATTTTAATCACCTGGCATCTTCACTGCACTCACTTTCCCACCGCTGTAATAGAACGTCTTTCTGCCTTTTCTATAAATAGTTTCATAGTAAATGTTCTGAAGACTTCTACTCTAGGGTACCCAGGCTCTATGAATTTTACCGTATTATTGGACAGCTAGCTCTCATCATTTTACTGTCGAAATGTTTAGAGGAAGCCGTAAGATTTTTGCCAGAAGTTTTTTTTCTCTCGCACTACTCACTTGTGGTTCTCTCTTCCGGCTTCTTGATTTCCAGTCAAATTTGGTCTTCAAAGATTTATATGCAATGTCAGTCGTTATCCTCTTAAATGCAGTTCTTTCTATTTTTATCGCTCGTTGATAATGTTTTTCTTTGTGCTTTTACATTCAGTGGCCCCCTGTGTGTTACTGGCTCTGCTTGGTGTGAAATGATTTAAAAAAATGACATATTACGATAATGTATTATTAAAGTTCCATTAACCAAAAGAACATAATTATAACCTTGTAGTTTTGATTTCTCTGACCACAATGTCTCTATCGCCGAAAATATCTCCAATGCTGGGTATTCCACCCCGATATATATTGCACCATTTAAACAACAAGTGGGGTGGATAGGTTTTAATGAATACGGCAACTGTGCCCATTATTATAAATAACCCCAAGGTCACATCTTCCTTGATTACAAGGCGAAAGCTTCGCATTTATCTTTGCCTCAAACTCTACGTTAGATAACAAAGGCCATCAACTCTCCAGCCTTCCACGTCTTACTGAGCACAATCTCAATATACTCATTTCAGCAAGAGAAGTCTGAAGATCTTCGACCCCAATAAAGCAATTGGCTCAGACAAACTTCCAGTGGTCGTCCTTAAGAATATCAGCCCAGAATTATCCCTGATTCTAACAAAAGTTTTTTAACCACTGTTTGAAGTTGAAATCTTTCCAAGCACGTAGAAGGGGGCAAGTGTATGCCGGATCTTCAAGAACGCGGGCAACCGACCTCACCCTCCCAGCATGGACCCATTGGTATCCTCAGTATCATTAATAAGATTTTTTAGGTCTTAATCAATAAGACGATCGTCCAGCACCGGGATAGCAACAACCTCCTGTGCGATGAGCAGTATGGGTTTCGATCGACTCGATCAACTGCTGAGGTACTACCATTAGTGTTGTGGAGTTATTTCGCAGTGAAGGCTTGTATTTGTACTAAGTCGTTCCTAAAATAGGTTCGACGTACAAAACGTTAGGAACTTGATATAATAAATATTACGCAGAGTAATCTAGTTGTGGTCGCTGGTACTTTCGTATTCGACTAACTGTCGTCCGTCATCGACTGACTGACCGAGCCATTGAGCGACTGCTACTCTTACTACTCCTACTTATTATAGGTGGGAGAGTCTATTAACTATAGAATAGGTGTGTTCCACTATAACAATTACACACAGAAGTAGTGAGGCTCTTGAAGACACACATACCGCAAGGACCATAGCATTAGATATCTCGAAGGACGTCGACAAAGGTTTGCTACAGAAGCTTTCCAGCTATGGAATCACTGGAAGTTTTTCTCTATTATAAACTTCCTGATCCGTAGAAGGTAGTTATTAATGACCAGTCCTCCTAGGCCCTATCGGTCAAAGCAGGCGTACCCCAGGGTTTACTTCTCGGCTCAATCTTCTTTTTGGTTTACATAAATGAATATACGGGCGTACTAAAAGTCTTTACGATCAGAGATTGGCGGCTGAGCTCTCTTCAGATCTAATCCTAACCTCCCAGTGAGGAAAAAACTAGCCGCTTACATTCCATGCCACTAAAACCAAACTGGTCACGTTCCATCACCGCCGATCAGACACCGAATTACCGCCAGTCACGATGAATCCTCGAGGGGGTCTCGTGCCTCGGGAGGATATTGGGCCTTAAACTGAGATTCGACCTAAGGTTGAATTCCTATATACGATCCACCGCTAAAGATGCATGTAAAATTATCGGCTTCCAGTACCGCGGCAGTAAGTATCTCATTCTTTATGCTATCCTCTACTTTAAAAAAGTCAATCCAGGATAAAAATGGAGGACTCATGCCATATTTGCGCAGTAGCTGTCCAGACCTCAAAAGCGTCTCTGAATCCTTGTGGAAGAAGAATTATTTTCCACACACCAACCTCTATTCCACAGGCGGGATATGGCGAGTCTCTCACTGCTCTATCGTTACTACCATGGAAAGTGCTCGGACGAACTGCAATTCCTGATTCCACGAGGTCAGATCTTCACGGCTAGGACCCTTCATGTCACTTATATAGTGGCAAACCACCCGTATTCGCTCCATATTCTATCATGAGAAGTAACTTCCACTCAAACAGCTTCTTCCCGTGAACCATTGCCCTAGGAACAGACTACCTAGAGGATATTTGCCCGATCATTACAATATTAACTTGTTCAAGTCTAGAGTCAACCATTATATTCCCCTCCTATGCATATAAAACACCCCTTATCGTAGCGTTCGATCTCGCGTGGCTCTCGAGCCTTGGACAGGGTGAAACTTTAAAAAAAAACAACAAAAATACATACTAAAGAATAGGCTTTCCTACTGCCTGGTCAACACTCCTCCCCCTTCTCTTGGACATGAGTAGAGGCTTACGCCTTGTTTCTTGTATAGGAAGGGGTTCCCGGTACTCTTTCTCTCTCTGGCCTCTGTATTAGTGCAGCTCTGTTTCTCCCGTGATGTGTGCAGTCTGTGGCATCACCTCTTCATTCTGAGGGTACACGGTTGACAGTTCTCTGGTTGCTGTTTCCGACTGGTAGTTAGGAGCCCTAACTCATGCGTAGCGTCTTAAGCGGCTACTCTGATCAACAGTTGTATAATACCGGGGTGTTTGTAGTGCCATTTCGCGCATGGAAAGGTGCCCCTGCAGTCACCTCCGGTGTGCAACCCTGAGGCCACATTATGATGCAAGGTTGTGCCATTTCCTCTATGTCGACGTCACGGTCGAAACTGTCTGATTCTTTTACTTCGAGCATTCTCATCTTCCAAGCAAAATTCCACATGACTTACAAAGACCGAAAAAGTAATCCTAAACCAGCCACTCAAAAATCACCTA